TTAGGTGTTTGCTGCAGCGTCCAGGTCTGGTCCTGAGTCTGCTCCCTGCTCGTGTCGTCTACTGTCCCACCAGACTCTCCTTTGGCACCACCGCCTTGGTCACCCCTCCCTGCCTCGTCTCCGAGGCATGGCCTCCCGTCTCCTTGTTTCTGGTCTCCCTCGGTCTCTCCCTCCCGTACATCCTGGGCCTGGCCCTACCTGCGTCCCCTGCGTCGAGGGGCGACAGCGTGCCGCCCCCCACTCCTCCGAGTTTCCTCCGACAGAGGCTCCGCTGCAGACTCTCCACATGGACGTGTGGGGCCCCGCCCGTGTCAGTGGGCAGGGGCGCGAGCGGTACTTCCTGTTGGTGGTTGACGACTACTCGCGTTACACCACAGTCTTCCCCTTGAGCAGCAAGGGTGACGTCACTAAGGTGTTGATCGACTGGATCCGCGCAGCTCGTCTCCAGCTTCGGGAGAGCTTCGGCTCAAACTTTCCTGTTCTGCGTCTGCACTCGGAAAGAGGCAGGGAGTTTTCCTTTTCCCGTCCGGGAGCCTTCTGTCGTGCACAGGGCATCCGCAAGACCTTCACGCTTCCGGCCTCTCCACAGCAAAATGGGATTGCTGAGCGCCGCATTCGCATGGTCATGGACGCCGCTCGTACGTCCATGATGCATGCGGCTGCCCCCCATTTTCTGTAGCCGTTTGCAGTTCAGTATGCCGCGCATCAGCTCAACCTTCAGCCCCGGGTCTCCTTGCCAGAGACCTCCCCTGCCATGCGGTAGACGGGGAAGGTTGGCGATGCGTCTGCATTTCGGGTCTGGGGATCTCGGGCGTTTGTCCGCGACTTGTCTGCGGACAAGCTGTCCCCCCGTGTTGTTCCTTGCGTCTTCCTTGGCTTCCCCCTTGACGCGCCTGGGTGGCAGTTTTACCACCCCACCTCGCGCCGTGTTCTATCCTCCCAGGACGTCACCTTTGACGAGTCGGTGCCTTACTACCGTCTCTTCCCCTACCGTACTGCGCCCCTCCCCCCGCCGCCGCTCTTCCTTGCGCCAGGTCGTCCCCCGGTAGGCCCCCTCCCCCCTCAGGGTCCTGCCCTGTCAGGTGTGTCCCAGGTAGACGCAGTCGAGCTTGTCGAGGCCGCTGTTGACTCTGGTGCTGCTAGAGGTGCTAAGCCTGCGGGTGCCAGGTCTGGAGGTGCTAAGTCTGGGGGTGGTGAGTCTGGGGGTGCTAAGACTGGGGGTGCTGAGCCTGGGGGTGCTAGGTCTGGGGGTGCTGAGCCTGGGGGTGCTGAGCCTAGGGGTGCAGAGCCTGGGGGTGCTGGGTCTGCTCGTGTGGCCGCCGGCGGTGCTTAATTTTGATACGCAATTATGAACCGTCGCATTTCTCCTGCATAGTCGTCCGGTTAGGTCGAAGAATGGAACGCTGCGCAGACCGATCCGCTGAAGAGGCACTATGCGGGGGCGAGGTTCCTTGAGACCCTCGCGAGCATCGGACGCCTCGTTGTTGCACAGGATCTGGCTATGATGTGGGCGTTCTACCATCAGCACGGCGTGAGAAACCCGCGGTGCAATTGCGACAGGCATCCATATGTGCAGATGAGCCCCTTGTGCAACCACCCGTTGTTCCGAAAGTGGGCGTACCTGGTCGCTATCTCTCACTTCCAGGGCGAGAAGCTTCGGGCAACCGGCCAAACCACCACCAAAGCAGTAAGTGCCTGCTATTAGTGGTAGAGAGAGGGAGTTATTCGTTCATGCTGAGTTCTGCCGTGTTGGTTTCTGCAGGACGCTATCTTTCGCACGACCGCAGAAGAGAAGATGCAGAAGATGCACCTCACCGCCAATATGCTCAGGGAGGAGCTTGGGATTTCGAGAGGACGTGAAATGCAGTTGGTGATGGAGAACGCTGAACTGAGGGAGAAACTCACCACTGAGCGAGAGGACAAGGCTTGGGTCATTGCAGAGTTCGAAGCATACAAGAAGTCTGTTGTGGCCAGGGATGATGCGGCAAACACCTCTGCAGAGATCGACGGATCGTCGAAGAGCGCGGGAACAGGAGCAAACCAGGCAATGGACGCATCCAAAGCACCAGTTGCCGTGGAAGAATTCTTCGTCGTGGTCGTTGTGTCTTGGCGCGAAGCCACCACTATTGCTGCTGCCTGGAAAGTGTGGGTGCAGCCAAGCCTCATCATGGGCGACAGGTCACTGCGCGAAGTCTGTGCAGAGTTCGACCGGTATAAGAAGAAGGACAAGAATTCCAGCTTCATCACCGCATATTCCCTGTTTGCTGACAAAGGTACGCCCGGGATGGCTGAGGGTGCATGCGAGCGAAAGATGCGTCGCGTGCATCGTGTCATGGTTTCCATGGAGACGCTAAGAAAAGACAGCTCCGAGGCGGCGACCGCAACGGCCATTAAGCTGCTGGACGAGGTTTCACTCGTGTGCAACTTCACGGAATTCACCAACGGCCTGGCGGTGCTGCATGAGACTCCGCCCATCAAGAAACAGAAGACTGGTTCGTCGATGGAAAAGAGGGCCGTCAACGACTTGGCGCAACGCAGAGTGGGCTGGCTGTTAGTCAAGAAGGGCCTTCGCGACCAGGAGTGGGCAACTTCGCTGTTTGGGGATGATGAGTGGGAGGAGATCCACAAGGAACACATGGCGCAGGACAAGGCAGAAGAGGAGAATCAACGAACCGCTAGGCGGAACGGGAAAAGGTGAAGGGCGAAGCATCGAAACGCTAGGAGCAGAAATGAGGGGGCATGTACCTTTATGGTGGGGCGGTTTAGTTATTTGGGTACTTTATTCCGGTTGTACTGAATATGCACTACAGGCACTTGTCTGTCTCTGTAGAAGCCCGATTTGGGGCTTGTATGCCACCTTCTTCCGTGGACGCGCTGTTTTTTGTAGAATGTTTTTCCGGTCTATGCATTGGAGCACACATCGATGGTATACACCGGGCGAAATTCTGCGGACTCATGTCGTATACGATGTTATTCTATAGAGCGGCATCGATGAATTCACTCTCACGATTGTAGATGTGTGTTCTTAGGCCACTCGGTAGACTTTTGCGTGGATGTATTCAATCTTAGCATATGTTTCTAGGCAAAGGAGTGTCATATTCTACTAGTAGCAACGAAGATCCTATCTATGATGGTAGATATTATCCATACGTGGGTTTTTCTGCGGTATAGTGTCGTTTCCGATTTGCCTCCAGAATTTGGCGTCGAGGAATTCAATCTCCATAGCAGAAAGGTCTGTGCAAAGGAATACCGTATACGATTCTTAACAAGGTGCTCCCTAAGACAAGATGTTATGCGATTGTTTAGCCCCATATTTCTACCTCTTCGTAGAAGCCAAGTATTAAACGTAGATTAAGTGTCGTAGAAGGCTGTCCTGCTGTCAAATTTTTCATTCGGTTGGCCCTCCCTTTGATGGCGAGTTCTATCGGCTGCATTGCTAGCTCCATACGCGCCCTACAAATTTCGCGAGTGTAGTGAAGGTTTGCATAGCAAAAATACATCTCTCATTGTATTGTATACAACACCTATATTTATACACGGTTTAAAAAAAAAAAAACGGAAAAGAAAATCTATTTCTATTGCGGTACTAACAAGACCTCCAAAGAACCCGTCTGCCTCTATCACTCCTGGTCGCCAGTGCCGGTGTTCTCCTCCGTCGACGCATCCTTCGTCGCGTTCTTTTTCGCTGACGATTTCTTAGTTTTCTTCTTATCCGCCCCTGTTGTGGTATCCCGGCCGCCCAACTTCTTCTGCAGGACTCCGAGGCAGACGCCCTGGTGCTAGCAAAGGCCTCTTGATGCCATGCTGCATAGGCACCAAGAGGTCACCACCTTTGCCACCTCCCTCGTCATCCGCTTTGTATCCCCGGCTGCTCGTGACTCTGCCGGAAGCGCTTTCAGCAGCGCATCCGACAGGGGCAGAATCCACGTTTCCTTGTCATGCTTCTGATCCTTGACTGACCTCATCGCCTCAACCGCAACGCAAGCAACAGAGGCTGCAAGCGTCGGAAGGGCATCGAGGACGGCAGAGGTCACATCGGTCGCAGAAGATGACGAGGCAACCGACGAGACGGTGGCAGCAGTGGACGATCTGGCAGCACAAAATGCTATGGCCATAGAAGTTCCACGTGCAGCTGATGTTGCACCCGTCTCCCATTGGGTCTGGTCCACATTCGTGGATGCGGCCCACATTACAGACAACGTGGCGGCAAGTCCGACTGCGTGTTCTTCCGTCGAATAGCCGTTTTCACCCTCCACGCCTCCCACCATCTTCTGCCACGCAGTTATTCCGACACCAGCGCAGGCAGCTACCTGAAAGCCATCCCCCTGCTGCTGCCGAAGAGCCGTGTTGGTTTGAACAAGTGAGAATCTACACAAGACACCAGTGTCGCAAGATCAGAACCATCGAACTTCGCGGGTGTCCGAGATGGCAGCTGACTACTTGACCAAGAAACTTGGAAAACAGAAGTTCGAGTACTGCATGCTGCTGACTGGACAAAGCCACGTCACCATCAGCGACACTCCAGAAGCGAAGGGGAGTGTTGGGAACAAATAAATTTAAGCGCCTCTGTCGTGTCAGACTTCAAGACACAAAGCGAAGCAACTCAAGTCGAAGCATCGCGAGTCAAACTAAAGCGGTTAACGAAACCGTCGGAGGTTACAGGAAAGTCAAAGGGCAGCGACCTTTGACCTGACGCAGCGCGACAGCAAGGACAAACAACTGACTCGACATTGAGCAGTTGCTTGAGTCGCACTGTATCGAATCGCAACAGTAAAATTAGTTATAATGTCTCTTCATATTCTCTGTACTCATCTATTTATATTCTTGTATCTCTTTGCTTTAATTAACTTACTTTGCCCTCACATACTGGCGCAAGGTGGTTCAAGAGCTTTATTCAACGCTTCCGCTATTACAACATCTACTCAGACTTTAATTCTACAAAGATCCTAGGGCGTTTCAGCCCAACAGCATGAATATGCAATGACAGTAACTCATGCTATTTACATTTTATTACCACTCACTAGAAATGTTGGATCATGAATGTGCAAGGTCCCCATGCCCAATGTAACATAATAAACATCCGGAATAGCCTTGTTAAAGTTCTCATAGTAAGACCTCTCCAAAAGCCTTTTCGGCCCCACATCGCTTCTCGGGCAGCTCTTGAAATTCGGGCGGGCCTTGTAAAGCGACGACCCTTTTCTCACGCCCAAGTCGTCCTCCACGAAATCCAGAAACTGCGCGTCAGCGACATTGGTGACGTTGATGAAGCGGTGCGAGTTGAAGCGCGGTGTGTTGGGCAGGTTCTCGCAGTACTTGAAGTCCATGTCGTAGTCCCGCGCTCTCACGAGCACCAGCATGAGCGAGTTGCGCGTGGGCAGCCCGCTGCACTTGCCCGTCTGCGTGGCGTTGAGCGTGCCGCGCGCGTTGGTGTTGCACGGCGCGCCGTTCATGCCCGTCTCTGAGCACACCGTTTGCATCCATGGCCAGTTCTGATGTGAATAGGGGGTGCAAGGGAGCAGCGGGATGGCGTGGTGAGATGGGTGAGGAAGAGAGAGGAGGGCGGGTGAGGAAGAGAGAGGAGGGCAGGTGAGACAGGCGGCAACGATGGGTGTGGTTAAAGTGGCAATGATTAAGGGTGTGGGGAGATCAAGCCTACCGCACTGTAATCCCGCTTATTGCATCTTCAACCACAGAACCTACTCATCAAAGAACGATCTCGAAGGCGATCTATCCTCCCCAGATCGTTACCTTTACTACGCCCTAAGGCTCTCTGGTCCTATGTATGCATGCTAAGAGGTTGCAGGATGGGGAGGGTGGTGGAGTCAAAGAGAGTGCACCTAGGAAGTGGGGCGTGTGGGTTGCACGAGAGGGACACGTGGCGACGCGGAGCAAGGGAGCACAGGGGTGCTGTGGTTCATGTTGCACGCACCTGGTTCATGTTGCACGCACCTGGTTCATGTTGCACGCACCTGGTTCATGTTGCACGCACCTGGTTCATGTTGCACGCACCTGGTTCATGTTGCACGCACCTGGTTCATCTGGGGCGAGTTGTAGTACTTGCGGCGCATCTGCTCCCAGTACGACCCGGGCTTCTTGCCACAGTTCACCACCTCCGCTGTCAGGCATGTGGACCATCCGGGCGTCCACCGCGTGTTCTTCACCACCACGTCCTCTATCACGTTGCTGCCCCGTTGTCACAGGGCGCAGGGACGGTGGGGAACATGAGAGCAACACGATGAGTTTCGGCGAATGGATTGGTTGCATGGATGCATCTCGTGACTGTTTGGTAGAAGTGATTGCGGCATTATACTGACGTGGCTCAATGCAATGCAGAGCGAGTGCAGGAGGGAACGGGCCATTGCAGGAGGGAACGGGCCATTGCAGGAGGGAACGGGCCATTGCAGGAGGGAACGGGCCATTGCAGAAGGGAACGGGCCATTGCAGGAGGGTACGGGCCATTGCAGGAGGGTACGGGCCATTGCAGGAGGGTACGGGCCATTGCAGGAGGGTACGGGCCATGGCAGGAGGGAACGGGCCATTGCAGGAGGGTACGGGCCATTGCAGGAGGGTACGGGCCATTGCAGGAGGGTACGGGCCATTGCAGGAGGGAACGGGCCATTGCAGGAGGGAACGGGCCATTGCAGGAGGGAACGGGCCATTGCAGGAGGGAACGGGCCATTGCAGGAGGGTACGGGCCATTGCAGGAGGGTACGGGCCATTGCAGGAGGGTACGGGCCATTGCAGGAGGGAACGGGCCATTGCAGGAGGGAACGGGCCATTGCAGGAGGGAACGGGCCATTGCAGGAGGGTACGGGCCATTGCAGGAGGGTACGGGCCATTGCAGGAGGGTACGGGCCATTGCAGGAGGGAACGGGCCATTGCAGGAGGGTACCGGCCATTGCAGGAGGGAACGGGCCATTGCAGGAGGGTACGGGCCATTGCAGGAGGGTACGGGCCATTGCAGGAGGGTACGGGCCATTGCAGGAGGGTACGGGCCATTGCAGGAGGGTACGGGCCATTGCAGGAGGGTACGGGCCATTGCAGGAGGGTACGGGCCATTGCAGGAGGGTACGGGCCATTGCAGGAGGGTACGGGCCATTGCAGGAGGGTACGGGCCATTGCAGGAGGGTACGGGCCATTGCAGGAGGGTACGGGCCATGAAAGAGAAATGCTTCAAGCTGCTACACCGCCACCCTTCAAGCACACCGTTGTCACTCGCGCCATGCCCCCCTCCCATCGTACCTCTTGCCGTTGTTAACCTTCATGCCCGCGTACGTGTCAATGCACGCCCCCCCTCGGATGGTCACACCCGACGACGCAAAGTCCAGGTAGTAGCACTGGTCGCCGCCTATCACGTAGTTGCACTCCGCTAGGTTGCCTGTTGCCGTGGGGAGGGGGGGTGATGGGGGAGGGGGGGTGATGAGGGAGGGGGGGTGATGGGGGAAGGGGGGTGATGGGGGAGGGGGGAGAGGAGAAGGAGGTGTGTGTGCATGGTGGCAGCGCAGCCAAGGCAGAGGCAGCGACGATGGCAGTAGTGGTGAGAGTGAGTGGCGAGCCTGCAGGCACTGTGGTTCCGCATGGCATGGCATGGCATGGCATGGCAAAGCAGTAAGCAGGGTTGAAGCAGCAATGCGCGGAGGCTGGGAGTCTGACCGGGGTTGAACCAGTGCGTGTTGAAGTAGATGCCCGAGGCGTCCATGTCGCCGCTGATGTTCCGCCCCGTGGCCACCACCAGGTTGTTGGAGATGGTGGCCAGCATGCAGTCGCCCACGTACGACACGAACGCGCCGCACACGATGCCCGCGAATATGAAGTCGTGCACGTAGTTGTTCCTCACCGTCACTCCCACCGCCCCGAAATACAGCACTATGGGGAAGCGGGCACCTGGTGGGATGGTGGAGGGACGGGGTGGAGGGGCCAGGGAGGGGAGGAAAGGAAGGGGACGGGAGGGAGGGGAGGGGAGGAAGGGGAGGAGAGAGGAGGGAGGGAAGGCGTAATGTGAGGAGCCCGGAATGATGAAGATGAAGTTATGCCCGTGGTTGGCGCGCACTGTGCCTCGTGCTGCCGCCAACCGCATGATCAGGACGCGTGAGCTGGCAGGAGAGAAGGCACGGGTGGTTGGAGCAAAGAGGAGAGCACAGGGGCGGATAAGAGGCGCGTCAGTCAGGCGTAAGTGGTGACGGATTGACAGCTTGAAAAGCATCTCTATCGTTACTCAAGTTGCGGTGGAGTCGCACTGCTTCTCAGACCCACACGCACCAAACGCAGGGTGAAAGTAACCACCTGTCAGCAGCGCACATGCAGTGCGCCCCTGCCGCACAAGGCCACGCGGATGAGCCCCTGCCTGCACACGCACCAACCCTCCCCCCCAGCAGGCCTGCACGCACCAAAGACCTCGTTGTTGCTGATGACGACCCCGCTGCGCTGCATGGTGGGCCCGTGGCCGCAGAACGCCACGCGGATGAGCCCCTGGCCGCGCTTGAAGTCGCCCAGCCCCGTCACCTTCATGCCGTCCACGCGCACCGCCACGGACCAGTACACATCGATGCGCCCGTACACCGTTCCGCGTGCCACCTGCACGTTGGCTGCCTGTTGTGGGAGGAGAGAGCAGTGGGGAGCAAGCGCTTTGAGTGTGTGCTGTGCAGACCGTGACCGTTGCCTCGAGTCGCCCAACCCAAGCCTGCCAGGCTGTCACCTTCATGCCGCCACCCGCCCATACACCGTGCCCCGCGCCACCTGCACGTTGGCTGCCTGGTGGGGGGGAAGGGGGGGTGGATACGCAGTGGGGAGTAAATGGTTTGAAAGTGTGCTGTGCTGACCGCCTCCAGTCGCCCAGGCCTGTGACCTTGCCTCCAGTCGCCCAGGCCTGTGACCTTGCCTCCAGTCGCCCAGGCCTGTGACCTTGCCTCCAGTCGCCCAGGCCTGTGACCTTGATGCCGTCCCCCCCCCCGTACACCATGCCGCGCGCCACCTGCACGCTTGCCGCCCGCCCGGTTGAGGGGAGAGAGGGGGAGCAAACGTGTTAAATCGCTGCTTTGCTGATCATTTATGCGCCTAAGGAACTGGTTCAGGGCTAATGGGCAGACCCGGTGCAGGCGCGCAGGTCGTCATGGCATGGCATGCATACGCAAGCGGTGCCAGCGATGAGAACATGTCGATGCCCCCCACAGTGTGCCCCATGCCACCTGCACGTGCGCTGCCTGCCTTGGCGACGTGCATGCACGCGGCACGCCATGGCATGACTCTCGGACGTCTCATAAGCACCCTAGCTACTACTTGCACACATGGCACGGCTGGTAGTGGGAATGGTGGCAGGGCGCATGGTGAGGAGTGTGAGATCCAAGTCACTCCATGCATGTGCAGTGCACTCCATGCATGTGCAGTGCACTCCATGCATGTGCAGTGCACTCCAGGACGCGTGGCGTCACCTGGTAGATGTGGATGGCGGGGCAGATGACGTCACCTGGTAGATGTGGATGGCGGGGCAGATGACGTCACCTGGTAGATGTGGATGGCGGGGCAGGTGACGTCACCTGGTAGATGTGGATGGCGGGGCAGATGACGTCACCTGGTAGATGTGGATGGCAGGGCAGATGACGTCACCTGGTAGATGTGGATGGCGGGGCAGATGACGTCACCTGGTAGATGTGGATGGCGGGGCAGATGACGTCACCTGGTAGATGTGGATGGCAGGGCAGATGACGTCACCTGGTAGATGTGGATGGCGGGGCAGATGACGTCACCTGGTAGATGTGGATGGCGGGGCAGATGACGTCACCTGGTAGATGTGGATGGCGGGGCAGATGACGTCACCTGGTAGATGTGGATGGCGGGGCAGATGACGTCACCTGGTAGATGTGGATGGCGGGGCAGATGACGTCACCTGGTAGATGTGGATGGCGGGGCAGATGACGTCAGTGCCCATGTACGGGATGCCCTGGCAGGCATAGGTGTCAAGGGCGTAGGGCTGGAAGAAGGACACGCGCAGCACCACCACGTTGCTGGCGCCCGCTATCCACAGCAGCGGCGCGTCCGTGCGCATGAGCGTCAGCTGGAAGCCGCGTGCGGGGCGGGCGGTGGAGCGCAGCACGGTGCAGGCGAAGGACACGTTGAAGAGCAGCGGCGCCGTGAGCAGCACGTGGTTCTGGAGCTCCAGGACGACTGTGACAGTGGGCGGGTACTTGAGGCGGCGGGCGAAGTCGTCCTCCGAGTTGACTGGAATGATCACCGCTGTGGTGAGTGGCGTGCATGGTAACCCGCTGGACGGTGGCTGCCGCCCTGTAGGGGTGGTTGGGGTGGGGGGGTGGGATGTCATGGCATGACGTGACAACCACATTCCGTCACACCGCACGGCATAAGGCATGTAATCACACGGCACCACATGACACGGCACCACATGACACGGCACCACATAACACGGCACCACATAACACGGCACCGGAGCACATGACACCACACCCGCACGGCACCCCACGTCCCCCACAGTGTCACACGCGTTCACCCACACTCAAACCTCGCCTCCCTCGTCGCCCACACGCCATCCATCCCCTCTCCTCCGCTCCTACCCCCCGTTTTCACTCACTGTCCCCCGCCCCCCGCGCCACTCACTGAGCGCCTGGGGGCTGATGCGCGGCTCAGCGAACGGCCATGCGCCACTACCGGCGCCCCTCCCGCCGTCCGCCGTCATCCCCGCCTCCGCCGCGCTGGCGGGCCAATCAGCTTCGTACACCTGAGCCAGCGGCCTGTGATTGGCCCACGACACATCCACCCACGGCCGCCTCTTGCCAGTCCGCCCACGTCCGCGCATCTCCTTGCCCCACGCGCTGCTGCGCGCCTTCGCCGCGGCCATGGCGGCCTGCACCCGCTCGTACGCGCTGGGGCCCGCTCCCCCTCCGCCGCCACCTATGCCGCCTAAAGCCCCGCCCTTGCTGCTGCTGCCGCCGCCGCCGCCGCCGGCGCTGCTGCTACTGGCGCTGCTGAGGACGATCGCTTCATCGGCGCTGCTCGCAATGCTCGCGGCCCGCACAGCGCTGCTCCCCTCTCCCCCTCCTCCGCCCCCTCCAACACCCCCTCCGCCCCCGCCTTGTGCGCGCTTGAGGTGGTTGCGCAGAAAGGGCGGGAGGCGGCGCACGTGGTAGTGGTAGCGGTAGAAGCTGTTGCGCGTGGCGCCTGGGGTCGCTGGAAAGGACGTGCGTAGGACGGGGAAACGGGGGAAGCGGGGAAAGGGGAAGGGGCGCACGGGAAGTGGGATAAGGGGGAAGGCTGGGTTGGGTTGAAAGGGGGTTGAAGAGACCCGCGGAGAATCTGAGTGGTGGCGGAAGGAGAGGGGCAGGCGGGGAGGGTGGTAAGGTACGGGGTAGCGCAGGTGACTGGGGAAGGGGAGTCAAGCAGGGCGAGGGGAGGGGAGCAGGGCGAGGGGAAGGGGGCAAGGGCGTGGGGAAAGGGAGCGCCATGGAGCGCTGTGCACGCGATGGCAGCGGTGCAGTTACGTGTTGCCACGTGCTGCCACGGCGAGACACCCACGCTGCGGTGAATTCACGTGCATGTGGGAAAGGCGCAGCAAGTGAGAAAAGCGCATGTGGCGCACGTTGAGCGACTCGACGAGCCCTCCAGACGACCTTCCATCTCCACCTGAAGCATTCAATGACTTACCCGCACCTGGTGCGGCGGCGACCGCGGGCAGCACCGAGGGGGTGCAGTGCAGCGCGAGCGAGAGCAGCGCGCAGATGAGCAGCGGCGCCGTATCCCGCCACGCGGAACCCGTGCGCGACGGCGGGCTCCGAGCCATGAGGAAGCGAGGATCGACAACGGGCAGGTGCGCGGGACTTGGAGAGTGAAACTGTCTAGCAACAGGTGGACGCGCGAATGTGAATTCGACCTGCAGCGCAGATGGACGCGCACAATCGAGTTGCCGCGCACAATCGAGTTGCCGCGCACAATCGAGTTGCCGCGCACAATCGAGTTGCCGCGCACAATCGAGTTGCCGCGCTCGCAAGCCGCGGAGCTGTCGTTAGCGACGCGGGACTGATGGCGATATACAGCGCCTGATAATAAATCTGACAAGGGAGCCGCGCGGACTCTTTGGCGAATCTACGTGGACGCGTCTAAAGACGGCGCGCGTTCGTCGGCAGCTCGACAGGGCGCAGGTGGTCGCGCTGCGCTCCGAGCGGTACTATGGTGGACTCTACTTTCAGTTCCGCAAAACCGCTTGTAGCGAGAACGAGTTTCTCCTTGTAGTCTCTTGGGTAGCATTTGAAAGGTCCTGCATACGCGGAAAACAACAAAACTAGGTCGCGCGTGGAAGAACAAGAGTTTTTGCAGGGCGAGCAAAGGAGGAACAACGAGTGGGTCAAAGATGCAGAGGGCACCGCGCGACGGCGCGAGCTGGAAAGGAACGATCCGCGACGGAGAACGGCCTTCGATTGCACCGCTGCGCGCTTGGGCTTGCAATGAGCTGGGAGCGGATGTAGGTTCCGTCGGCGCCTTGGGTGGCGACTGGTGAAGGTGAATGGTGCTAGCATCCATGCATCCATGCATTGCACCATTCTTGCGAGCGACAGCATAAAGAGGCCTCGCCGCACCCGCCGCCCAGACCCAGACACACGGCCCATTACCGCCCCGCCCCGTCGCTCTGTCCGCTTCTCCCCTCTCTCTCCTGCGGAGGCGACCAAAGGGGTGGTTGGGATTGGGAGGGTAGCCATGTACTGTACAGTACGCATGGATGTGTAGTGCTCAGCAAAGGGCTATTATACAAATGGTCACTGAAAAATGCACGCTACCACAAATGGTTATAAGTTCATCACGAACGGTCATTGAAACGGGAAAATCTATCACGGATGGTCACTGACTTATCATGGATGGTCACTCGTCGCCCCACGATGCTATCACGAATAGTCACTGAAAGAAACGCCCGCTCGAAAGTTGAAATGGTTTCCCATGCGTTGTCACACTGTTGCGATTTATAGACTAATAGTGCGTTAATTGTTGTTGTCGTTTTTGTCGCATAACTGTTTCTGTCTTGTGGCACCGTTTTGTCTGTAGTGTTGCAAGTTGTTGGTATTTACAATAAAATTTTTGCGACCACCCTCGCGAAGTCGTTAGAAACTCACAAAATTTAGCCGGCCATTTTCATGTGCATGCAACTTAGTCGAGGCGCGCTATTCATTTGCATGCTATCCCGTCGTTTTTTAGCCTCTGTTGTTACTGTATGTACACCTCCGCCACGAAAATTATTGTTCTGTTAGGGGATGCTACAATCCGACTGACAGTAACCGGCGCAGCTCTCGCACGAGTTCGTCGTCCAACCACACCAGTCGCACAAAAATTACTGCGAACAAGATCAATACATCTCGCAACGCACCTGACAAAAACTGGCAAAAAAATATAAAACCCAATTGGAAACGCATGCGACTCGGGAGGAATCAGCCCTAAACACGAGGGCAGTTCCCATGTTTAGGGTTGATGTGAAGAATGAGGAATGGAGTGGAAGGAGTGGTTTCACTAGCAAGCAGTTGAGTACATATAGCAAACCCTAATTTTGGGCTGTACTCACTATTGAATACCCCACTGCAGGCTAGACAAACATAACATTCTGACACACCCCCATAGCCAAAGTGGGGTGTAATCAGCACAACAAGCAAGCAAAACACAAGCTCAGGGTGGATCACAATGTCACCACACAATCTGAGCACAAGTACAAGAAGCAACAGTTTAAAGTTCACAAATGTAAGCAAAGCTAGAGGCTATCACCGAGGGCAAGTGTGGAGGAGGAGGGACTATGAGAGGAGAGGAGGTAGTGGGCGGCAACTGAAGCTGCTGGTACACGGCGCAACTGGAGCAACTGGCACACGGGCATCTGGAGCAACTGGCACACTGGCAACTGGAGCAACTGGCACACGGGCTACTGGAGTAACTGGCTCCGCGGCTAGCTCTGAGCGGCAGGAGCAACGGAATCACGGGCGACTGGAGCAACTGGCTCACGGGCGACTGGCGCAACGGGCTCACGGGCGACTGGCGCAACGGTCTCACGGGCGACTGGAGCTGCTGGCTTCACGGCGGCCACCCCCTTTCAACCTCCCCAAACTATCCCACCCCCTTTCACACACCCCCTGCTGCACCCTAGGTTCACTCATACCCACCCCCTAGCACCACTCCGTCGACTCCCAGACACACCCACCCCCCTCAGCGGTAGCTGCAGGAGTGGGAGACAGAGGAGGAGGAGCAGGGGAGAGCACACACCCGCCACCCCCTACTCGCCACCCCCAAACCCTAACAAAGGGCAGGGCCGGGCGACGGGTAGGGAGGTTACGGGGGGGGGGGGGGCAACGCGCGGCCTCCCAGGGCGCCAAAACAGGCGGCAGAAGGGGCGACGCTCCCCCCCCCCCCCCCTTGGTAGCCCCTCTCGTCGCCTGTCGAGGCGACCTGAGGAGGCCGGCGGTGCACGGGTCCCTGGTGCACCGCGACAGGCGACGGAGCATGGCCGGGGCGGGGTCGGGGCAGGGCCTCGACAAGGCCGCGGCGGGTGACGGAGCAGGGCCGCAACAGTGGGCCGCGACGAGGCCGTAAAGGGGGGCCGCAAGGGGCCTCGAAAGGGCGGCGACGGAGTCGCTAGGGGCAGCGACGGGGCCGCAAAGGGGCCGCGAGGGGCCTCGAGGGGCGGCGACGGGGCCGCTAGGGGCGGCGACGGGGCCGCAAAGGGGCCGCGAGGGGCCTAGAAGGGCGGCGACAGGGGGGCCGCGACGGGGGGCCGCGACACAAGGGCCGCGACGAGGGGCCGCGACAGGGCGACGGGGCAGGGCCGGGGCGAGGCCGTGACGGGGCCGCGAAGTGTGAAGAATGAGGAATAAAAAAGAGAGGAGTTGCACTAGCAGCAGTTGGCATACATATAGGAAACTCTAATTGGGTTGTACTCGCTATAGAGTACCCCACCGCAGGCTAGACAATTATAACATTCTGACACGAAGGGGCCACGAAGGGGCCACGAAGGGGCTACAAAGGGCCGCGACGGGCAGAGCGCGAAACGCGCTAAGGGCAGGGCAGAAAAAGGTTTAGCGAAGTGGTGGGCCCTAGGAAGGAACAGTCCCAGGAGGGAACCAGCTCTGATACCATGTGAAGAATGAGGAATGGAGTGGAAGGAGTGGTTTCACTAGCAAGCAGTTGAGTACATATAGCAAACCCTAAATTGGGCTGTACTCACTATTGAGTACCCCACTGCAGGCTAGACAAACATAACATTCTGATAGTTGATCCCTTCCGAAAAATGAGTCCAGGTTCCCTAGATTTTGTGTCCCACTCCCTTAAATGACATCAACCCTAAACACTAGGACGTTCCCGTGTTTAGGGTTGATCCCTCCCGAACAAAATCCATGTTTTCTAAGAGTTGTATTTTTTCTTTCAAGCTTCCCTGCCAGGTCGATTTTGTGTGTGGCGTGTGTTGCGTGTGCTGCCTGTGTTGCGTGTGCTGCATGTGCTGCGCGGGCTGCATCCCCTGACAGAACAGTGTTTTTAGTGGCGAATGGGTACAAACAGTGGCAACCGAGGGAGAAAAACGACGGGATAGCATGCACCTGATTAGCGCGCCTCGGCTAAGTTGCATACACCTGAAAATGGCCGGAATTGATTTGCAACATCGGAAAGTTAGCTCGTGGCGCAGTGTTCACTGTTCGACTATCCACTGTTCGATTTATGCATAGTGTCCCTATGAATACAACTTTTAGACGGGTGAAACTCGAAGATTTTTCCCGAGAAAAAAAACGAAAACCCATTCGGATGGGATTTTCCAAGGAGGGCGTCAACCCTAAACACATTTCGTATGGTGTTTAGGGTTGATTCCCCCGAAGGGTGTACCATCCCATAGGGTTTTATTTGTTTTTCTTCTCCTAGATGTCAGGCGAGAATCATGCGAGAGGTATCAAACAATCAAAATTAAGATTCCTCAAAATCTCTACAGTTTTTTTCACAGTGGCTTATGGAGTTCAATTTTCCTTGAGGGTTTTATCGAGTGACTATTTGCGATAGAAACGCGGGGCAACGAGTGACTATCCGTGATAGTACTCTGATCATCCGTGATAGATTTGCCCGTTACATTGACCGTTCGTGATAACGCTGTGACCATTTGTGATAACGCGGCCTGTTGAATGACCATCCGTATAATAACCCCTCAGCAAATCCTGCTTGCAGCTGTTCACAGTGTTGGGGTAGGTGCGTGGGGGCATGTGGGGAGTGAGGGAGGGGAGGAGAAAGCGAGGGAAGGGCAGAGGAGCGGGCTGTGCAGGGATGTAGAGGTGGTTGTTGGCCCGGTTCGGTGCAGGGATAATAGGGAAATTAGGGCGTGGGCCCAGTCAAGTTTGATCGCTACTTACCTGATCGGGTTGGATCTGATCGGGTTGCTTGTGATCGTAGTGCCCGAGCCACCCGATCAGAGATGATTTTCCGAGAAGTTCTTGAGCGCCTTCTCAGCCAGCGCGATACATTTGCGTGGCATTTTTGTCACGAGATTGACGACCAGGCTTCACCTGGCGAAGATCTTCGTTTCAGTGTAAGTGCAGCAGTGTTACTGCTCGCAAGCACCGCTGGGTGCCCCGATCACAATCAATCAATTGGTTGCCTGTGATCGAGGAAAATCGACTCTGATCGGGGTTAAAATCGGGTCTGATCGAGGCTGGGTGATCAGCTGATCGCGATCAGCTGATTGTCCCTGATTGCCTGAATTTGCCTTCCAGGATTCCTAGAAAATACTTCTCGCGGCTGTTCGAGGCGATTCAACCCGGTTGGGCCCAGCCCTTACAGGTTACACTTTCTATACAATCAGGTCCGTTTCTGTACATGTATTTTGATACAGCAGCTAAAGCCCAACTGGAGGCCAGCTGTGGAGCAGGGATTGGCCTGAGGGACAATCTTTCGAGACGATTTGCCAACGAACTCACTCTTCCTCATTCCGACCTGTGGAAAGCTTTTTTGGGCAGAAGCCATTTCTTCCCGCGTCGAAAGCCCGCTATTATCATGCAGCGTTACCTCTCTGTAAAAACACTCTCCAAATAGTAACTTGTGAACGCTTGTCCCAAAGATTGAAAGTCAATTCTGTAAAGTAGTTACGGTAGTGATTGTCCGCTCCTTTTTCACTGAGTATTGAGGGTGTTATTACTGAGTATCTCCAGAGCCACAATATCGATGCTTTTAAAATTACCAGAAAGGCTCCCAAACCATGAATGCACAACGCAGTGTCACATGAATGCACACAAACCATAGAAGACTCCCAATCTAAACAGTGCATGGTGGCAGACGTGCAAGGCGTCGCACGAGGGACAGCACAGCATGCAACTCTGTAAGTCACACAGGACAGGACCCCTTATGTCATCTTCCTATCACCGAATCCTCATGCCATGATTCAAGGCGTGCACTCGCTGAGCAGAAACTCCCTGTACAGGCACTCTCCATGCACAGATGTGCCCTTCCCATTCATTCCACCCACACCACCACCGCCCTGCACTCCCCCTTTCACCGGGCCCCCGAACCCCCCCTTCCCCCTCCCCCTACCCCATCCTCTGGTAGCGCCCTTGCGTGCAGCTGGGCTGGACTCATCCCCACCCATGGCTGCCAGGTCCACACACGACTGCACGCGCTGGCAACTCAACATGCCCACCCCACCCAGTAACCCACCACGATCCGCACGACCCGCCCCAGCACTAGCAGCAGCAGGCAGTGTGGCGGCACCACTGCTTGCACCGCTCCCCACCACCCCTCGTCCCTGCTGCCACCCACCTGACTGGGGCGGGACACCTTGAGCCAGGGGGCTCTTCCTTAGGCCAACGGGTGACTGCCACGTCATCCCGGCACCGCCCGCACTGGCACGGGCGTTGAGTCGTCGCGCCCAGCCACCAGCGTTGTCGCTGTGAGCGGTGGCGAATGGCGAGCGCGGAGACAGCGGCCCTCTCAGGGCCAGCGGGGCCGCACTGGGGGCGCCCATGGAACCCATGGCACCCACCACATCGCCATCTGCACCGGGACTCGCCATGTCCTCCTCCTCGCCCTCCCCCTCCTCCCCACCCGTCCTCAGCAGCCCCAGGCGCCTGGCCATGCGGAAGCTTCCTCGCAGGCTGCCTCCGGGGCTGGGCGCGCCTGCTGCTGCCGGGCTGGGCGCCCCGCTGCCAGGCATCATGCTGAAGAAGCGCCGTGAGCCGTGCTGGCTGCCGCCCGCCCTGCTACTCGCCTCGTCCTGCTCCCTACCCCCCAAGAGGCCAAAGAAGCGCCGTGAGCCGTGCTGGCTGCCGCCCCCCTCGTGCTGCTCGCCCTCCCTCGCCCTCATGGCACTCAAGAACCGCCTTGACCCGTGGAGACTGCCGCCGTGCACACTACCACCACTCTCTGCTTCCTTCTCCCCCTGGCCTGCCCTCATAAGCCCTAAGAACCGCCGCGAGCCACGATGGCTGCTCCCAGCCTCCACGCCCTTGCTCTCGCTCTCCGGACTAACCATCTTCCCCTTCCCCTTCCCCTCCCTCCTCCCTCCTCTACCTGCAGCACCCCGCGCAGCAGCAGCAGCATGGGCGACGGATTGGGGGTGGTGGTGGTCGTGGGGATCATGGTGCAAGCGGTGCAGGTCGTGGTGGCGCGTGACGAGAGCAGAGAAGTCAAGCAGGTCAAACAGAGGCACGGGAGGGATGGTAGCGGAGGACGATGAAGGAGGCACGGCCGGGGGTTGACGGGCGAGAGGGGTGGTCGCTGCTCCCTCCTGCTGCTGCTGCTGCTGCTGCTGCTGCTCCTGGCGCTGCTTCTCCAGCGCAGCAGCGATCCCACAGCCACCTCGCACGCGCTCCTCCCTCTCCACTCCCGTCATCGCATGCCCGTGCACCATACTCGGCGGCGCCACGGCCTGCTGAGCCATGACACTGCTGTGCACGGCCATGAGCTGCAGTGACAACCGCTGGTGCCCCAGGGCGTCTAGGCTTGCTACTAGTGCTGGCAGACACAGCATGGCTGAAGGGGGGTACTGATGCTGCTGCTGCTGCTGCTTCTCACCTCTGTGGTCGCTCTGCCCCTCACCCGTGTCTCCTGCTTCGCTCACTGCCTCCAGTGACGTGCCTGGTGCTGACGTGGCACTCGCCAGCTGGCGCACGAGCTGGCGGAACTCCGACTCGCTGAGCTCCAGCGACAGCAGGGCAACGCACGCGCGCTGAAGCTTCCTGGTAGCTGCGTACAGGCGGAAGCCTCGCAGCGACCCCTCCAGCTGCACGCCTCCCCTCACTCGCCCCTCTCCTGTTGCCCCTCCTTGCCCTGGCCCCTTCTGTAACACCGCCTCTTCCTCTTGCCCCACCCGTCTTGCCGCCACCTCCCCTTCCCTCTCCCCTCTCTCCCCATCCTCCTCTCCTGCCTTCCCTGTCCCCTCCTCCCGCGCCTCTGCTGCAGCCCCCGTTGCTCTCTCCCCCACACTTGCCTGCCGTGCGTCCGCAAGGAGCGCGGCACGAGGGTGGGCGGCCCGGGCCTGAGGGCTCCCACGCACCGCCACAGCGGGCTGCGCCCACTGCCCTGCAGCATCCCCTGTCACAGCCATGGCGCCACCCTCTGCAGCACCCTCTGCAGTAACGGCTGCAGCGCCGGCCAGCCAGGGGTGGAGCAGCGCGTGGGCTGCTGTGGGGCGCTGGCAGGGGTCGGGCTCCAACAGGGCACGCAGGAACGACTGCGCTGCTGGCGAGGTTTCTCGGGGTAATGTTGGGACTATCCCTTTCTGATGAAGGGTGGATTGGGATAAAAAGGAGGCGGGTAAGAATTGGTGCTTAATGTACCAGTGAAGGTGCTAAACGCAATGAGAACAACCAGAAGGCGCAGTGCTTGTCAAGCTTCTTAGCCTCGAGTGCTGGGTACAGGCGACAGGGAGGCCCAGCGTTCATCACATATGCCCCTGCCTGCACATTCACAGTGCCTCTCTCTCCCCTGCTGCGCGCCCCTCACCTGCATGGCCTGCCACGTGGCATTGGAGTGCACTGTGGCGCGAGTGAGTCCACTGGGGGGCGGCCCGGTGAGCAGCACGGCCACCACGGCGCCCGCACTCCACACGTCCGCCTGGGGGCCGTACGCATGTTGCCACACCTCAGGTGCGGCGTAGAACGCTGTGCCCATGAAGTCCCGCAGCACCACCGCGCCCTCTGCGCCCGGCACCACAGCCTCGCCATGCTGCACTGTGCTCTCAGGGCTCCCCTCTCGCTGCTCTGCCTTACTCCCCGCGCCTGGCGCTGCCTCCCCCGTGCTGCTGCTGCTGCTGATAGTGGTGCTGGTGGTGGTGGCGGTGGTGGTGGGAGCGGGGTGGAAGAGAGCAGCGCTGCCGAAGTCAACGAGCTTGATGGCGAGCGAGTGCGCATCCGACAGCAGTATGTTCTCCGGCTTCTGACAGGGGGGAAAGAGGGGGAGAGGAGGGGAGGGGAGTGGAGGGGAGAGGAGGGAAGGGGAGGGGAGGGGAGGGGAGGAGAGGGTAGGGGAGGGGAGGGGAGGGGAGGGGAGGGTGTGCCGCGAGGGCAGGTGGTGTGAGCACGAATTGGGAAGTGCAGGAGAGTTGGCCTCACACGCGAGTGCAAATCCATGACTGCCTCGCTTCCGCCGCCTCTGCCAAGCAATGGGCACATGGCTCACCTTCCCACCACTCTCCTTCCCACCACTCTCCTTCCCACCACTCTCCTTCCCACCACTCTCCTTCCCACCACTCTCCTTCCCACCACTCTCCTTCCCCGCTCGTCCCCCTCTCAACTGTTATCCACTCAATCCGTGACCCCAGCATCCCAGCAAGCAAGCGAGCGTCAAATGTCGAGCTCCGTGTGAGCGCTCGCTCACTCGCCCCATCGCGGCATGCATGTGATTACTGGCCATGCCCAGCCAGCATGCAGCAGGCCTCACCAGGTCGCGGTGGGTGACGCCCCGCGCATGGCACAGCGCCACCGCCTGCAGCAGCTGCCGCGCTGATGGAGGGAGGGGGGAGCAGGGAGGGGGAGAGGGGAGGGGAAGGGGGCACTGGGTCACGAAGAGAGCGGTTGAACTGGGAGTAAATGGGGGAGTGGGCGTGGATGGGGAGGTGAGGGGGGATGGGGAGCGGGGGAGGTGCAGGGGGCTTCAATCAGAGATGGATGTGCGGGGCCGTCTGTGTGGCCCCCATGCACCAATGTGCACGTCATGCTGCCATATGAGTGCTCCCGCGACACACCAATGTGTGCAGCATCAGCCTCGGTGAAGGAGGAGCGCGCAGCGAGGGCCATGAAGAGGTCGCCGCCCTGGGCCTTGTCCGTGACGATGTGCAGGTGGCGGCTGTCCTCGTGCGTGGCCAGCAGGCGGATGATGGGCGGTGCGACCGGTGCTGGTGCTGCCCACAGCTGCCACGGGGAGAGGAGGTGGGCATGGAAGGGAGAGATGGGCGCAGTAGGAAAGAGAGTGGCTGTGTTGAGATGAGGTGTGGGAGGGAAGGATGAGGGAGGAATGGAATGGACGTGCATTGCGGTTGGGGAAAGGAGCTTGCTGATGAGAGGTGAGTAGCACTTGGGGAGGGCGCAGTGAGTGAGGCAGCAGGACAGCAGAGGAAGGAGGTGGACTAACCCACAGCGTATGACTGGAAGCGGCACAAGGTCGGCCGAAAACGAGAAGACGGTGTCAACGGAATGAGCGCAGGGAGTGTGAATGGGCGGAGAGCGAGGTGGAGGGAGAGTGGGATGAGATGAGATGAGATGGGGCCGAGGGAGGGAGGGAGCAGGCTCACCCGCTGCAGCGCCTCGATCTCGATGGTCTGATGGCGCCCGCAGCAGTGACGCGCAGCGGTGAGGCGCAGCGATCATGTGCAGAGATGGCAGCGAAGAGGTGAGGGGATAGGCACAGGGAAGAAGGGGGAAGCACGGGGGAGAGAGCATGACGGGGTGAGTTATCCGGGGGCAATGGACGTTAGGGTAGAAGTCAGAAGGAGCAGTAACGAAAGGAGGAGAAAGCATAGATAGGCAGATGCAGGAGTGATGGGTGGGATGGGCGCAGTGGGCGAGAGAGCAGCACTGACGCGGCTGATGTAGGCCGGGCGTGCATTGAGAACCTTCTTGGAACATGCCTTCACCGCCACCACCGCGCCCGTTGCCCTCTCCACCGCCTCCCTGCCCTCCCCCCACACATACAGGGATACGCAGTGATGGCGGTGGTGCGCGCGGGGCGATTGGCGAAAGGAGGGGGGAAGGGAGAGAAGGCAGGGGGAAAGAGGGTTCTTGGGAAGGCAGAGGCAGCGGTGAAGGGCACAGGGACCAAGACCAGAGGGGGAAGTGGGAGGGACGGGGAAGAGCAGGTGGGGATGAGGGGGCGCGGTGGTGGGGGGAGAGAGGGGGGCGTGCAGCGGGGCGGGCAGGGCGCGCACCTGACGGAGGCCACGCGGCCGCACCCCAGAGTGTTGCCCACCAGCTTGTAGTGAGCTTCCAAGGAACCTTCCGGGCCCACCTTGGTCGCTGACGTCAGCATGGGGTCCTTGACGTGCTTGTGAGGGGGAAGCGATGCTGACGTGGCGGCATGGAGTGACGACGAGGACGGCTCCACTGCCGTGCTGGACAGGCAGCAACCCATGGCGATTGGCGACAGCTGTGATAATAACGAGGGGCCAGGTGCCACGGGTGGAGCGTCGCAGCGTTCCAGGGGTCAACGGAGTCACTGCTTGGCGCTAGCGCGCTTCGCTGACGCGCAGCGCCCCGGTCATCGCTCAGCGAAGGCGGGCGGAGGTGGCCACCTGGACGATGACCCGCGACGCTCGCATTCACGCCGCGCTGCTTTCTCTCACTGCACGACGCGACGCGCGGGCGTGCGCATGGGCGCTCTTTGCGACCGGCGCGCTTGGGTTGGGGATGGCGAGCGGCGAGACTCGCTGGAAAGACACGGCGCGCTGTCGGTTTTTTGACAGCGAGGGCTTTCGTCACCCGCATTCCCCGCTGCTCCCGTGTGAGTCAACTGGGCGTCACTCACTTGGTGCCGGCAGGAGTGGCGAGGTCAGGTGGCGACTACTGCATTGCGCTGCTGCACGCACGCGACGGCTGCTGCTGATAGCACTGCTCCGTAGGAAGCGGAACGTGATATGAGCGCGAGAGTGAGTGACTGGGCGGGCGTTAGCCGCGCAGTGCTTGGAACAGGAGCACCGTGGCATCACACTTATCAACTCGTGGATCTGTGATGCCGCATTTCAGAAACAGTGGTGGTGCGGTCGAGGGAATCGTGACGTGCACCCGGAGGAGTCGACGTGGCACGATTCCGTTGACTCGGAACCACGTGCGGCTGACTGCGCGAAGCGGAGCCTCGCCACGTGAAAGATTGTGGACGGTGCGCCGTCCGATATTTGCATTAGACGAGATGGGTGGTACTGTAGCTAAGTGGGAGGTGTAGATGACGGCAGAACGATATCTTACGAAATACGACTACACGAGCCCGCCGAAAATATATCAGTAACCACAGGTGACGTTTCGTGAATTCGTCGCCATCGACGTTCCGTCATGGTTCGCAGGAGCAAGCACCCATCCCTTCCAGTTGCCATTTCGTTGAGACATTCCCTACGAGTCTTTTCACCTCACATTCCCACGCATTCCTGCCATAATAAAGCCACACTTGAAACGGCTTGGTTTGCGTGAAGGACAGCGCCTCGCAACTGCGCTCCTCTGAGTCATCGCAATTTGAAACGCTTCTCTCCTCCGATCCTTGTTTCCGCCTCGCCCGTCACGGTGTTGTTATGCTTGCTTTGACACTCTAACAGCGCCACTATCGTCATCGCTCTCGCCGTCGCTATCGGCCTTCAGCGGTCGCCGCCATGCTCAAGGACAAGCGCGCCGCCTTCCTGCGGCAGCAGGAGCGCGTGCAGGCGCGCACCGTCGTCGACCATGCCGCCGCCACAGCCGCCAGGCGCCAAGCCGCCCCTTCCCCCGCCGCGGCGCCGCCGGCGAGCACCGCTGTCGCGGGGGAAGTTGCGGGGAGCGGAAAGGGCATCGCGGTGGGGTTTCAGGGGCTGCAGGCGGAGAACTGGCTGGCGGACGCGGGGAAGTACGAGGCGGTGCTGCGCGTGCGACAGCTGCCGCTGGGGCAGAAGATCAAGAAGGTCATCGACCTCCTCTTCCGGGTACGCGCGCCGCCCCTGCTGCGGCTGCCCCCGCCGCTGCCTGTGCTGGCGCTGGGGACTGCGGGGGCTGCGAATTGCGTGAAGGCGCTACCCCATCAGTGCGCCGACCATGCGCGCAGTTGTACTGCCTCCACGCGCACAGCGAGCGGTGGGCAGGATCAGCATGGTGGAACCAGCGCCCCTGCCCTCTCTGCTTGCGAATAATCCCCTCGCCTCCCCGCCCTCCCTTCGCCTCCCCTTCCCGCCCTCCCCTCCTCTCTCCCTTTCCTCCTTCCCCACCCTCCACGCCCTCCCCTCCCCACCCTCCCCGTGCCCACCTCCTCCTGCAAGGAACAGTACAATACCGTCTGAAGCGCTACTGACTCGCTGCATGCATCCACCTCCCCCGTGCCCTGCCCTCCCCGTCCCGCTTCTCCCCCTGTGCGTGCGCTGGCACAGGAGCGGCAGGGGCTGACGGCGGAGCAGGTGGAGGCGGTGACGATGGTGGACGTCACCACCAGCCGCGAGCTGCAGGCCAGCCTGCGTGCCAACCCCAAGGTCGCCGTGCACGGCAACACCTACATCTACAAGGTGCGCCCCCCGTGCTGGCCCCACGCCCTCTGCTGCCATGCCTGTGCAGCCTGCCGCCTTCCTTTGCTGCGTTGTGGCGCCCTGCCTGTTGTTTCCTCCATTCCACCCCCACTGTGCCCATCCGACCTTCCACCCACTCCCTCCATGCTTCCCCCATCCCACCCTCCCCGCCTCTCCCTCGCCCTTTCCCCCCCCCTCAACCGTCATGGCAACGCATACACGAGCAGGCGAAGCACGAGTTGGCGGGTCGGGACGACCTGCTGAGGCTGATCCGCGAGCACAAGGACGGCATCCCCATGGGCGACGTGCGCGACTCGTACAGCGCCGTGGCGCAGCACGTGCAGGAGCTGCGCGCCATGGGGCAGGCGTGGGTGCTGTTCAACGCGGACAGCGGCGACGAGGTGCTGTTCCCCAACGACCCGCGCATCGCCATCAAGGTGGACCCCGACATCCGCGCGCTGTTCCGCCGCATCGACCTGCCGCGCGACCTCACCGACCTTGAGAAGGAGCTGCAGCGCTGCGGCCAGAACCCCGCCATGCCCGCCGTGCGCCGCCTGCAGGCCCTCGAAGGCGCCATGACCGCCCAGGTGAGGGAGGAGAGAGAAAGGGAAAGGGGGAAGGTGGGGGGTTGGGGGGTGGGTGGTGTGGATGTGCAGGCATGAGGCGGTAGCATGCCGTTCCTGCTGTGCCTGCAGGCCTTGCAATGGGGCTGGTCGCGATGGTGAGGGGCGCGGTGGTTGAGGTGGTGGGAGGAGGGAGCAGGGAAGTAGGAGGGATGCGGCATGGGAGATCTGCTGTCTAGAGCGCTGGCTGAAGGTAGTGCTGGTGTAATGGGGTTGCATGTGTTGACTGCACAAGTGAGAAGCCTCCTCCATATCAGTCCTCTTGTTTCCGCCCCTCCAGACGCAAAAGCCCAAGGCGAAGAGGAAGCGGGAGTCGAAGCGCACCAAGTACACCAACAACCATCTGCCAGAGCTCTTCGCCAACACACCCATGTGATCGCCCTTGCTCTCGCCTGCTCACTTCGTTTGAATTCTGTTGGCCTCTTCTCTTCGTATTGAAGCTTACCCTATTAGCCCAATGGCTTCATTGTGGGCCATGGTGCGTGCAACAGTTACGGCACCAAGTGGCATGTCTAATCCGAGTGTTCCTCCCTTGTACATATCTCAGGGAACTGTCTTCTATAATATTCATTTTTGTACCAAGCCTAGTGGAGGTTCTGTGAGCATTGTGGTACTGAACCATGGCTAACAGTTTCAGTGGTTGGATTTGTCAACTCCTTGGTAGCTAACGCACACAAAATCTTTCAGAATCAGCCATGCGTAACATGACAGTGCTCGCCCGTTACCCTACCACGTTCGCCACTTGAATCTCACTGACACACCAGCCGCCTCGCCTTCGAGTGCTTTCCTGACAGGCGGGAACGATCTGCCACTTGGCAGCATGCATCGCACAGGTTTTCGCGGGCTAAGTTGGTGGTATGCCACGCCCTTGGTTCTGTTCTCAACCGTCCATGCCCGTGCCCGATTTCAGGGTTCCATGTGCCATCCATGTCCCACCCGTTCCCCCCCAAAGCCCCATCCATGTGTGTTCCACCTTCAAATCTGCAACTCCACATCTTTCGTCTGCTCCTCAGTCCCGCTTCCCAACAGAAATTGGTTTCGTGTTGTGTGCCATTGCGAATCCGTCAGTCACTCATATCCCAGACACACCTTTAGGGAGTTGTGACCAGGAATCTAGATCTCGAAGTGCATAGCTCGGAAAATGGTGAGCTACGGTAGTTTTGCGTTTCGCCGCAGTAGACGTTTATAAGCATCTCTGCAGAATCTTAAAGTGCTGTCGTGTCCCGCCTTGTCGGTATTATGCAGGCTCTCCCTGGTCAGACCACACCTGAAGGTTGCCCCAGCTTCAAGCTAATTCTTGTTGGTGATGGTGGTACAGGTGCGCATCTCTCTTTGCACAGTTCGGTTATGCGACGCTTAGGCAGGAGCGTTTAATTGTTGTCATTTTTTGTTGTTTCAGGAAAGACAACCTTTGTGAAGCGTCACTTAACGGGTGAATTTGAGAAGCGCTATGAACGTAAGTTAAGATGTGATGTTTTTAGTTTTAGCTTTACTGCTCTAATCTCGTATCAGCGTTAACAGTCGCTTCGTTGCTCATGCCGCAGCCACTATCGGTGTGGAAGTCCACCCCCTTGATTTCTACACCAACTGCGGTCGGATTCGCTTCTACTGCTGGGACACAGCAGGTCAAGAAAAATTCGGCGGACTTCGCGACGGTTACTAGTAAGCTCTTCCACGATTGTCAGCACATGTATCCTAGTTTCTACCGACGTTCGTTTTCACCGTGTAGCCCATAGCTTAATGTCAAACGAGCTTCAAGAAACGGGTCGGTTATGACCTAAAAAGCCACATTTCGTTATTCGTAGCTGGGGAGCAGATCATTGCGACTGTCAAGAGGGAGATTTTATCTGGGAGCGACTTCAAGCTTTACATGGCTAGTAGTGCGGGGAGTGCGAAGGATCGGCCGATCGGGTTGCACCATACCGATGTAGCGACTGCGTTGCCGTAGCCCTTCTCGTTGTCCTCCCGTTTTTCCGACCGTTCTCAACCAACCGACGACCTCAAACTGACCCGTTTGTATTCCCCTTGGCATTTCAGTATCCACGGGCAATGTGCGATCATCATGTTCGATGTGACATCGCGGCTTACATACAAGAACGTCCCTACATGGCACAGAGATCTGTGCAGGTAAGCTTGAAGCTTGTAGGTTGCATTTTGAACGAAAAGTTGAGGCCTCGTTGCTTATTCATTTTTTTCTATACCTCTTTCCCAGGGTGTGCGAAAATATCCCCATCGTCCTCTGTGGAAACAAGGTTGACGTGAAGAACCGTCAGGTA